TAGAATGAGCAAATCTTGTCTACAGCCAAGGTAGAACATTGAATTGTGATTCCCCCATTTAGTGCGAACCATCCTTCAAACTGCGGTACCACCTGCAAATAAACTATGTTGTGCTGCGGCACGCGTCCATGCTGCCTGCTTCAGAGGAAAGCCAGGGCTCGTGTTGAAGACGACATACCACAATGTACAGGCCCAACAATGTTTAGAAAACTAAAATAAAATTGATATCATTCAATAGACACAGATAGGCTCACAAAGTGTCGACACTATGATTGTTTTTGACGGGTTTACTCTTGCATAAAAACAAAAGTGACTTCCTCTTTCCTCCGATGTACAGTAAAACCCCCTTATCTTCGTGGCCCCTATTTCTTCTCGAATCGGTCACAGAGGACATAATCACAGCCACTGAATTCTGCAAAATTAAAGGCTGCAAAAATTAAAGGTTTGCCAACATTAAGGGGTTTACTGTTCTTCAGTGTGTGACATGATGTTAACATTTCAAGGAGGCTGAAGGTATTGGTTTAAGAAAAAATTGACCGATGAAAAAAAATGCCCTTCTCCAGGTCAGGCACGAGAGGCTCATTTGCACTACCTATAAGGTGGCAAGTTTGTTTCGGCAGAGCTTTTGGTAAAACGGAGTCACAAAAGTAGCAATACTTGGCGTCAACAATTTTGTGCTGCATTATAAAGGTAGAGTAAATTCCACAGTGCTTCGGCACAGCACTGTTTGTTGCGAGAGCATATAGCGAGAGAAACTAGCGCTGACAGAGTTGGAGCACTCCAAAAAAAAAAACAGCCGACTGTGCAAACATTGAGAGATGCAGACATGCGAACTGTGCATTTCTTAAAAGTGGATTCGAGCAAAGGTAAAAACAATATGTATACTTACAGCGGCTATACTTGCCTTTCCCAAGCACGACCACCTTTCCCTCGGTATCCACCATCCAGTAAGAAGCACCAGCAACACGCCCATGAGACGCCGCCGACTCCTGGATTGAATGACGACCCGCCTGAGGTCTTGGCAGGAGATCCGGAACACTGCTTTCGGCCAGATGTTGTATCTGGTGGGGCTGGGACTAAAAGTAAAGAGTAGCAAATTTATCAAGCGCTACATTCCTATACGATAGCAGTATTTTTTTTAGGCCAGTGATGCGTTTTAATTAAACACAAATGGTTGGTTTATATAATGAACGAGCAGCCCCTATTTTGCCTAAGTGTAACGTAGTGTGAAACGTTACGTCCGACGGAACCCGAAATAAAAATTAGTTACGCCCAACGTAACTGTCAAGCATTCGAGTTACGTCCTTCGTAAACCAAAATAAAAATTAAAGTTACCGTATTTACTCGAAAATAGGTCAAACCCTATTTATTGGACCCACCGAGAATAAAAAAAAATAATTCAAATATAGTCGACCTTTCTTTTTATTTTTAAGAACAGAGGAAATTTTGGGCAAAAGAAAGAAACAAACCTTTGTTTACATCACGCTCAGCTAAAATTACGGGGCGATGCCAAAAACTTAATCACCGTCATAACTTCTTGACATGTCAACGTCGTCCGAAGCTTCGTCAGCTTGGTAGACATCCTCGCAAATTCGCAACATTCCTTCACTGACACCGTTCGAAAATGACGACAAGAAGAAACGAAAGAAGATGCGAAGCGACGGAAGACAAACTACAAAGACGCAAGCAAAGCCGCCGTGTCGCCATGAGCAACACGCGAGCCGAGCGTTGGCCGAGCCGCCTCAAGCAACAAAAAAAACTAACCTCCGTTTTTTTTTTTGTTTTTTTTTTTGTGCGCGTTTGCGAGGATGGAGGGCAAAGTGCATGGCACATCGCGCTCCTCTCCGTCCCGGTCGCCCAGCAAGGGGAACGCTAGTGGCTAGCTGCGCGATGGCGAAACCAGACGCCCGAGAGATGCCCGTGATAGCGGCACCGGCCACCGCAGGCGGCTCATTTCGGTTGTCTTCGTGCACCAAAAGGTTTTTGAAACAAGTGCCGCGGCTCTACGGCAACGCCGGCTCGGTGACTCGATAGCTTCATGCCTCCACTAGGGTCGCGAAATTTGGTCGCGAATGTAGGTCGAAATTCTTTGGTCACGACTTCCGAAAAAGAAAAAAAGGTCGACTTATATTCGAATAAACACGGTAGTCAGCCGCGCGACAAGACATATACTATGAAAGCGATTGGTGCGAGCGACCAAGGCGATGAGCGACGTTTTCTAGAAGCCCAAGAACCAAGCGGCGCCTGCAGCGAGAGTGAGAAATCTTCGTCACTCGGCGCCGGCACTCGTAGCTTCTTGCCGTCGCTCGTCTCGTTGATCGCTATATTGCTTACATGCCGTTCAGAAAGGCGCTCTAAGTGCTTACCATTGCATTGGGACGAGCCTCGCATCCAACCGTAACCAGGCTTGACTTTTTGTAAAGCCGCACAGGTAGATGTTAACATCGAGTATATATATCGTTTCGAGCATGGGTCCTCGTTCATTGCTCGATTTACATTTGCGGCAAATGCAAACCACAATGAGGCACAATTATTCTAGTTCAAAATTGTCACGAACACTTGGCACGCATGCTTACACTGTAGCGCACCAAACGTAATTTAAAAGTAGAACGAAAACGGGACGAGATTCGCTTACCGCTTCACGGAGACAGACACCTTCGGATCCTAGGCCTAACCGCTGAACTTGGAGGTCGCCTGCGGTCCGGCGATCGGACGAGTCGAGCCGGCCTGACCCAGGCTGACCACGCCTGGTTGAACTATGAGAGGTGCCGTCGAGTTGAGAGCCATAGACGCAGTAGAAACGGACCGTAAAACATCTGTCCCGTAAAACGCAGAACGAACCAGCGACGCCAAAACCGCTACGTCGCCGTCTCCGCGACGGCCGGAAGCGTGGAAGTTGGGAAGTTAGGAAAGCCCCGGCTGCGGAAGCCACTGGGTGGAAGCTTTACGTTTCGGTTTGGCTTTTCTCCGACGCCGGCTAGGGTTGCGGGCTGGGGGGTTTGCGGCTGGTTGCGACGACGCGAGGGGCCGCTAAAAGACGTCGAGTTGGCCGAGTACGAGTCACGGCCCACGATACGAGCAACGGGCCGTTTGCCGCTGTCAACCGGCGATGCGGTATCCGCGGCTTGGTGTCACGATCGGTTTGTTGCCGTGCACGTTGACTCAAAGCTCGAAGTTATGCAGTTCCGTTCCGGCACCAGCCGCATCAAGTTTTCCGGTGCATCGCACGTGGACGCCTCTCGACGCATTGTGCCCGCTGTCTTCGGTGCTGTGGAAGAAGTTGGGAGACGGAAGAAGCATCAAAACCGAGGCGTGTAGGATTCCAGGGGGGCCGCCGGTTCACTCTGAACGAGAAGCGACGTGTGTGTGCACGCTTTGAGGAAGCCTCCGCGTTTTGCCACGCCAGACCTCGCCGATCGCGACCGGACCACCCGGACCCCGAGTCTGAGAGGCTCTTGCGCAGCCAGGAACGGCACCGAGGTAGGAGCTGCTCGTTCTGCGCTACCATGCAGTGCTCTACAGTGCTCGGGGCTCTCGGTGTCATTCGTGCTCGCACTGAAGCCTTTGTGACCGCTTCGGAGACGCAAGTCGTACTTCGCAAAGGTTCGGACGGGGCCACCCTCACCGAGCAGCTCCGCTATATTCCACTTACTTATGATCGCAATAAATGCTTGCGTTTGTTCTCGGGAAGAAAAATTGCGGGACCGCTCTCCGCGCCGCCGACGAGGTTGGCCGCCGCCATGTACTCAGCTGTTCACTCCCTCCCGCAGCGAGCGCCTTCTAATAATCCTCCCCGTTCCAAAATGCGATGCGATCTCCGTTTACATGGGCTGAATGAATGCGCACTCGCCATCTCGATCCACCTCTGTCGAGCGACTTTAATGCGATGCGCTTTCTTTGGCGTGTTCTGGAGTGTCTAAAAGTGCATTCAAAAAGAAAAGTGCTGCTTCGAAGGAAGCCTGGACGTGTCTAACTTGTAAGAAAGCAAAAGCAAGAATTGATCCAGTAGGTGAAAATCCTAAATCAAGCAACGAAAAAGATGATGGAAACACACTTGCGGGTATAAGTAGAAAACTCTCTGTTTTGATGACACTACACGCAAAAGTTGACGCTTTGATGGAAATCAAGAACACTGTTGATGGAATCGAGCGCTCGGTCCAGGTCATGTCTGACCAGTATGACGTACTGCTTACCGAAGTTAAGCAGCAGAAAAACGAAATCGGCGAGCTAAAAAAGCGTATCGAGAGGGTGGAAACAAGTGGCGACACCGAGGTCCAACAGCTCAGGCGCGAAGTCAACGATCTAGAACAGTACAGTAGAAGGCAAAACATTGAAGTACACGGGCTGGCACCTTCCGCAAATGAAAACTTGCTGGGTCAACTAAACGCGCTCTCGGAACAACTTCATTTACCAAAGCTGACGGAGCAAGATATCGAGGCAGCACACAGACTCCCCACCAAGTCCGACAAAGTTCCAGTCATCTTAGTGCGATTTGCGTCACGTCTCACCCGAGATAAGTGGCTACAGGGAAATGCGCGCCTAAGGCAGATGAAATCTACAGGGCGAATCTATGAAAACCTGACAGCTCAAAACAAAAAGTTATTCTGGCAGATTAGGACCAAAACCACTGAAAAGGGCTATCGATTTGCATGGCACAAAGAAGGAAAGATGTTCGTGAGAAAAGCTGCCGGTGACCGTCTTATCAGGATAGAACGCGAAGATGACTTGGAACTGATACGTTAATCAGAAACGCGAAGTTCGCTTTTACTTTTATTTTTTCAATAATGGGTAGTTGTTCCACAGAACACAGTTATTATGATAACAATTCGTTCAGAAATCTTGTTAATGGAAACATTGCACACAATGACAATAGATTATCTGTATTTCATTTAAACACAAGAAGCATTAGAAACAAATGTGACGAAATTGAACAGTTACTTGACTGCCTAGAACTACGCTTTGATATCCTTGCATTCACTGAGACATGGCTTACGAATGATTCACATATTCCTGAATTTAACGGTTACTACCACACAGAGATATTTCGAACTGGGAAAAAAGGTGGGGGAGTGTCCCTTTACTATAAAAGCTACTTGGCATGCAGTGTTATCTCTGAATATACTCGTGTCTCTGCGAATTATGAGTGTCTTCTTGTAGGGTGTCGTGATTACATTTTAGGTGCTGTGTACAGACCACCATCCGGATCCCCTAGTGTTTTTCTAGACTTCTTACAAGAAATTTTTCAGTATGCATCTGAGAGTAAACTTCCTATGGTACTAGTTGATGATTTTAATATTAATCTGATGTTGTCTGACTCATGGCAATTAGAATTTTTAGATCTCGTGCAATCACATGGTTATGAAAATTTAATTGGTTGTCCTACCCGCGTTACATCTGGGACGGAAACTTTAATTGATTTATGTTTGACCAATGCAATGAGAAATGACGTAGTATCTGGTGTACTGACGGTGGATTTAAGTGATCACTTACCTCTCTTTTGCTTTCTTCCATGCGCAAACGTCGGCTACAATAAAACGAATATAACTAACCCTTATTATCGAGACATAAACGATTATAGTATCGAACGCTTCGTTACGCTTGTATCGGCCATACACTGGAATGATATATACAATGAGCCAAACCCTAGTAAGTCCTACGATAAGTTTATAGAAAAGATAAAAGAAGCCTATGAAGATGCGTTCCCATTTAGGAAAGCCAAAAGACACAAGAAATCACGGAAACCCTGGATTACCGTAACACTTCTCAAACGAATTAATGAGCGAAGTAAACTTTACGACACATTCATAAAAACAAAAGACCTCGATATACTGGCTGAATACAAAAAGAGACGCAACAAGTTAAACTCCGACATAAAAAAGGCGAAAGTAAACTATTATAAAAATTAATTCATTACAATTCAACATAATCCAGTGAAAGTATTGAAGACGGCAAAAGAACTGATGTCCAAGTCAAGCAGTACCATCCCCAATGTCCTTAGAATAGATGACGTGGATTATTCTGGTAGAGAACTTGCAAATCTATTTAATGCTCATTTTTTGCTTTCGGGCGCTGCGACCTTCTCCTTACAAAAGGAAAGAAACTTTGAATTTCATACCCGCGTATGTTTACAACAGTCTATATTTTTGTCACTAACTACAGAGGCTGAAGTGCTTAACGTAATAAATTCATTAAGTAACAGCGGCGCATGCGGCGATGATGAGTTGAAAGGTAAACCTATAAAAGCAATTGCTGGGGTAATATGTCAACCACTATCAGCAATCTGTGATAAAATATTAAGCACCGGGATATTTCCTGCTCAATTAAAAATCACCCGAGTATCAGTAATACACAAAGGTGGGCCACTTAATAATTTAAACAACTACAGACCTATATCTGTATTGCCAGTATTTTCAAAAGTAATAGAGAAGATAATAAACTCCAGGATGTCAGACCATTACATTAAACATAACCTAATTGTTGAACAACAATATGGATTTCAAAAAGGGAAATCAACCGAGGAAGCTTTACTGAAAATCAAGGACAAAATTTTAACCAATTTTGAGGCCAAGCTTTACACCTTAGGAATATTTTTAGATTTCAGGAAAGCGTTTGATTCTATTAAGCATGAAATAATTCTGAAGAAGTTGTATAACTCTGGTTTTAGAGGACTAGCCCTAGAAGTTATTCAAAATTACTTATCAGATCGTGTGCAATATACGACTTTAAGTTGCGAGAAATCAGAAATCGGTAAAATACAATATGGTGTTCCCCAGGGGTCCATCCTTGGACCACTCTTATTTTTGGCGTATATTAAGGATATTGTCAACATTCCCCACACACCTGACATTGTGCTATACGCCGATGATACAAACGTATTTTTTTCTGGTGCCAACATAGATGAACTTGAATCACTTGCGAATGATTGGATGTTAGAGTTAAGTGCATGGTTGACATGTAATGAATTAGAGCTAAACACCGAGAAAACAAAGTATATGATATTTCGAGCAAAAAATAAAAGTATTAATCAAGAACTTAACCTACGATTTAGAAATAGTGAAATTCCATATGTAAAAGCTCACAAGTTTTTAGGTGTATACTTTCAAGAAAACCTTAATTGGTCTTATCATATTGATCAGATCCGGCCAAACATCTCCCGGTCAATAGGCATTATAAATAGGCTCAAATATATCATTCCGGTTTGGTTAAAACGACAGTTATACTTTACTCTTGTTCATTCTCGTTTAAATTACTGCAGTTTGGTATGGGGTACGTGCTCACAGACCTGTATATCCAAGCTGCTCATTCTACAGAAAAGAGCAGTACGGTCAATTGCCAATATCTCATATAAGGAACACTCTAGCCCATATTTTATCAAGTACTCTCTTCCTACTGTAGAACAATCACTCATTCAAAAACTGGCAATTTACATGTTTTACAAAATAAAAGCACACCCTCAGTTTGTACATGAAAATTACATCAACAATGCATCAATATACTCATTTCGCCATACCCACTACACTCAGTCCAGAGTACGCACAAACTACGGTAAACAAAGAATACTTAATCAGATTGCACAGCTATTAAACAACCACCCTGAAATACTGTTCATGATAAATAATTCCAATACAGTATACACATTTAAACGAACACTGAAAAGTACCTTTCACGTATAACATCATTTATTAAAGTTTCCGGCCGCATTTCTTTTGTTATATCAATGTATCTTAGTGTAATCCCACTATTAGTATTTGATTGTTTTTGTTCCTATGTTTCTGTACGTTGTGCTGCTGACTGTACAGGGGGATGGAGCCCTGTCAGGCGATTTAAATCGCCTTTTGCCCCATCCTCCTAGACACTTTTCTGAATAAAGAATATTATTATTATATTATTATTATTTGCGCGTTATGCCATTTACATGACCGCATATTGAATGCGGCGACTGGATTCAATGCGACTAAGTCGCATTCATGTAAACGCGGCTTATGTTCTTTTTCGACATGTATGATGTATGTAACGATACCGGTGGTGAACGATGGACGTTTTCGGTGGAAGATGGCGGTCGTCTTTCTCCATGCATAATTTGGTTATACCGGTGGTCCTGTGATATAAGCGTTTTGTTGGAAAGATGGCAGTCGTCTACGTCATCGGACGCAAAATCATACCAGCCACACCGAATCATATCGGCAAGTAAACTGGCTGCCAGTATAGACAAACCCGGAGCCATAGCGGTGCCGATATCTCCAGTTATGCACAACGCCAAACCAAACTAGCTGCATAAATAATAACAAGAAATTATGTTGGTGTCATACAAGAACTGTACAAGCAGCAGGTTCGTTTCTTGTACTTTTTTCCAATAGGGAACCGGTGTAATTCTAGGCCATATTGTCCGTTCTCCTGGCAGCTGTAAAAATAATTTCCCAAAAATTCTCCTGACAGGCGCCTATCATTGGCGGTGGCATCAGTTCATCGAATGACGTTTCATTGACAGATCGTTTTATTGACACGCTGTTTCATCAGCAGATTGTTTTACAAAATGTTATGATTAGCTTTTTTTTTCTGGTAACAAGTTACCCCAAATTGTCGCCGCAAATGGCATGTAGGGTGGGACACGTGGGTTAACATTCTTGTCATGAACCGTCGCAGAATGTTGCCACGAAACTGCGTGGACGGGTTTGCCGGTTGGTTACACACCCGCGAAAAACGGAAGTGGATATTGTGCCGCCGGCACATTAGCCCGGGGGAAAAATACCGGCAGTTGCCCCCTATTGGGTCTCGTATAAGACGAATTGAGAAAACAACTATTTGAGGCTGTAGGGTAACTTCCTGGTAAGGTGTCCGCCTCTTATGCGGCGGGACCGCGGTTTAATCGTCAGTGTGGGATTGCTTTTTTTTCCTAAGCATTTGGCGATACCTACGACATTTCTTTCTTACAATTAACACTGTAAAAAAATTAATGTTGTCAGCGAAACTTCGCTGAATCAAATGGTACGAGACTCCCTTTCGGGGGGTGAATGGAGGACAGCGAAGCTTGCACCGCCGGCGGCCGCTGGGATGCGGCGTGTACAGGTGGGACAATTAAGTTAATATTTTTCTAATGAGCAGCCGCAGACAGGGATACACGCACCGTCCGAGTGATATAGGCGCCGTCCGAAACTGGCGGAATTTGTTTTCCCCGGGCTATGTCGTGTGTTCAACCCCTGGAAGGGCGCAGTCCCATACAATTTACTTCACCGATGTTTCGTGCACAGCATTCGTTTTTTTAGTGTTAATCATAAAAAAAGATGTTGTAAATATCATGAAAAGCTTATACAATGTTCGAGAAAATAAAATAAGACCACACTGGTGGATTGACTCAGTGTCCCGCTGTGTATGAGACCGACACCTTATCAGTGAGCTACTCTATAGCTTCAAATAGCCTTTTTCACAATTCGTTTTATACGAGACCTAAAAGGGGACAACTGCCGGCTTTCTTTTCCCGGGCTGCCGGCAGATTATTCACTTCCGCGAGAAAACTTCTCCGCAACGTGCGATTCGCGTAGCGAGTGTCAATGATATGTTAGTGTCGACGAAACGTGTCCATGAAACGTGTGTTTATGAAAAGTTGTCTATGAAACGTCTTTTCACGAACAGCCGGGAGAACGAGAAATTCAGTATTCTACCTGGAGTTGCATGATTTCATGCATGCAGCTGGTGGGAGGGGACACTGGGTAAAATTTCGGAATTATTATTGTCCCGGCTGCCGGGAGAATAGATACTGCCTAATTCTAGAGATAATCTGGGGGAGTACCCGTAGAACAGCGATAACTCGTTGCCAACAAGCAGGTTGCCGTCCACTTAACGAAAAATTAGCGGACTGAAAACATGTATTCCGAGATATTTGTCGAATGGGCACTGGAGAACAACCACGTACACACACCTACGAGATGGTAGGGCTCCATGAAGATTCGACACAACGCGGTACAAGCTGTCATTTGCCGAACCAAACCACATCACGAGAATTTCTGGCTTCTTCGAAAAAATCGCTTGTTGCCAATATACGCGTAGGACTTTTCAAGCACTGAGCCATACATGCCGCAGCTAAGAGTTCAGTCAGGGCCAGGGAAAGGAAGGCTGGTAGGGGAAAGCAGATGGGTCTGGAGAGGTAAGGAAGAAACATTCCCCTCCCTCCAGCATTTCGCCTGCATCCTGCTTCTTCAAGGTCCCCACGCGGGTGCGCCCACAAAAGGCTTACCTTCGAGGGTCATCCGAACAATGAACACAGCTAGAGGATTCGTCAGTGGATACTTTTGTGAGTTCGTCCCAAAGTTGATAGTGCCATGGATGCTATGTTAGTGGTCTACCAAGCAGTGTCCTTCAGGCAGGTGCCGTGCTGTGCCTTGTGACCCGATTGGAGACTACAGTCACGTGACCGTAACCGGAAACGCGATTGGCCTAAAATACGCATAGCGTCTACTCTGCTGCCAATACCGAGTGAACAGGACAGCAGCACGACGGATACTCGGCGACAGCTTTTCTTGGCAGTGCAGTGGAAGATACAGGCCCGCGCTCCTCTCCCGTTTCCAGCGCTGAATAAAGCTGTGGAGGGGCTCTTCTCCTTTCCACTGCATTGCCATGAAAAGTTCTCGTCGACATAGTTTTTCGAGTCCCCAAGGAACTGCCCTTCTCAAATGGTAACCAAAAACGGGTGGTATGAAGATGCTATGTTTTAAACCGTAAAACCCGCACTCTAAACTAAAATGCAAAAATAACTGCGTTGTCTTTCTGCGCACGATGTCCCCAAATAAACTGAATTCACAAATAAAAAAAAATACTCAGAAATAAGCTCTTCCGTATATTTCGCAGCACGCTAATTACAGATATTTTGTTTCGAGAGAGTTGTGTGCATGTAACAAAAACTGTACAATTTCTTAAACCATGTAATCATAGATTCAACATAGATGAAAAGATCCCCAAAGCTGAAGCTAAAAAAAAAAAAAAAAAAAAAAAACGCTAATTTAACAAAACGATGACAACACATGGAGGGGTTCTGGGCTCGAAAGTGCTAACGACTTATTATATCGCAGAATAGTAAAAAAAGAAAAATATCAGGAATAGCGTCTGCATATTTGAGAAATTTGCTGTACAGTGAGGACGTCCCTAAGGTGGCAAAATATTCAGGATTAAATAATTAAATATTTGTTTCGGGTGTTAAAAGTGTTTTAATGTATATTTCGTCGTTCTCGACGTGGGCGTCGACGGACATAGCGCCGCTGCTTGCGCCCCTATCCGAGGTGAGCACTACTTCTTCCACGTTGTAACGACACTATATCGCGCTATAGACTCGTGTATTTGACCCGCATGCAGCCTCGAGCGAGCTGTTTCGAATGTCGGTGCAAGATATAGCAACGACGTAGCAATCGCGACATGAGAATTGACTGCGCCTCGATCTGGCCGACCGCGCCCTCTCTGCTGCAATGTGAGCGTGGGAATTCCGAGCACCGTTAGCTCACTGGTGTTACAAGAGGCTGCTTTGTCGTTGAGACCTTGCAAACGCCTGCGGACCGGAGCCGTTCCAGTGCTTGGCGCATCTCCCGCGCAGCATCGCAACCTTTTTGGCGCCTGATAGGCCAACAGAGCCCGTAGCATGTGCTGCTGTTCATTCTATGTTGAAGCAGAGATGCCGCGAAGTACGTGAACCGTTGCGACGATGCGTGATGTTGAAAAATAAGCATAGAAATATTATCCCGAAGGTTTTTTCAGTTTCAGATGCGGCGATTTAAACATGAATGCTGTAAATTGCATGGAGGGTTCAATTTGCTGACACTATTATTGCGTGCATTCGGCTCGCTCTCTACACTATTTAACTGATCTTTTGATTTTCGAGACTTGGGCTTTTCTAGAGAGCTTTGTGACAACGCCAGTCGTTCCTTGGCGCACTTAATCCTGCAAAGCCAATAAACAATAAACTACACCCAAAACCACTCCGTTGTAGTTCCGTGGAATTCTGGGGCCAGTGAATACAATGAAGCGCCACAAAAGTCTTAAATGTTGGTGGCCGCCCGCCGGTCTACTCTGGTCGGCTCAGACCAAAAAGAGACAAAAGGCGCCAAGAAAATCCCTTCCCTGGCAGTTCCGTGTAATTCCGGTGCCCGGAATATACAGTGAGACGCCATGCTGGCAGTTCTCCGAATTCACTGGGCAGTCCCGGTCCAGATTTACTACGGCCAAGGACCAATCTTGTCCCCATAGCTAGTCTAAGCAAGTGTGCTGCCTGGTGTGTACCATGTTGTAAACTCCTTCATGAAAAATATATTAAAAATACGACTTCCCAATTGACACCTTTGCCCTCAAATAAGTATTTAGTTTATTAAACAAATTAAAGCTAAAGATGTCACTGCCAAACTGCGGGTTTGCAAAAAAGCAGAGAGCACCAAGTCCCTTTATCTGTCAACCCTCCTCCCCCCGAAAGTTCGAAGGCCTTACGTTGCCCCTCCACCTTTCTGGAGTGGGCTGCGGAGTCCCTCGGCGGTTTGACATCGTGCTAGAAAATGCTTGGGAGGGGGGGGGGGGGGGGGCGTGCTGTTACCGGCAGTTGGGATCCGTTGAGCGAGAGATGGAACATGCCGATGGGGAAGAGCCCGTACTCTCCGGGCACGGCGTCCAGCTCCCGGCGTGCTATTAGGGTGTAGTTTCCTTGCGCATGACCCTTCTCGTCAATCAGTACCATGTAACCCATGGCATCTGCGGGTCCGGGGTAAAGTAAAACAAACTATTTTAGCTGGACTTAATACATTTGCATTTCAAGGTCCTACAATGTGTCCCCGGGGCAAAAAAAAAAGTGGCGTTTTCTTAGTCGCAAAAATAAACTGCGCATCGATGAACGCTAATTTTACGCCGAAATATAAAGCTGGTTGTCCGAAGCGGATGCCAAAGTTTCAGAACAAACTTTTGTCTTATTCAAAAGCTACGATTTTTGGAATTCGTTTTGAAAAAAAAAAATAAATGGTGGACGACAAAGCTTAAGAATACATTAGACTAAAGGGAGCAAATTGAGGAGGACGGGCCCCCATGTTCAAGTGAATATTTTACGAAATCACCTTAGACTTTTGAGTAGGTATGTCTAAGGTTTAAAACCAAAGTTTCGGGTCCGGACCGTTAGAAAGATTTAGAGTTCGGAGACGCATACTTTATTTAAAGCACGCCTCACCTCTCACTTAGAATATAATAAAACGTTCTCCTCCTTTAAGATACGGCTGTTTTTTTATTTCTGTCCTATTTTTTTCTGTATTCTATGATTACTGAGATGATTACCCATTATTGTGGCTGGTGATCCAGCTTTTGGTTTTGTCACTGGCAATTTAGGGTCATGAATGCCCAGCTGAAGGCCAAGCGATAATGGAACTTGATAATATCTGGCCAGGGTCGTGGAGAAAAAGTGTTAGAGTTAGGCTTCAGTGCCTGGAGGTTTGGCTGTTACCTGACTTCTTTGGTCTTCAGTTTCTGAAGAAATACCAGAATCTCGATTGAGTTCTCGTTGTTCGGTTTTCACCCAGAAACTTTCAGCAAATAGCCACAATAGTGCTGCATGAGGCTTCCCGCTTGTTTTTCGGTCGAGACGTGACGTCTTGTTCTCATTTCTGACAAACAGGCAATGATGTGGTAAACCAGGAAGAGAAGCAATATGAAAGCCACAGAAATGTTGTTTTTTTTGGCACTAACACGTGCACTGGTGCAAAAACTTGTTAGGCCCAAGTATAGGCCCTCAGGATTGTTTCATTTGGGCCGAATTAAGCGTTTTTGGGGAGGGCTGCCTGGCTGACCTGGCCAATTTTGCGAATAGCCGCGTATTTTGACCTGGTTCCACGTTTTTACGTCATCTTTTTGCAAGCTCCCAAAAAGGGATATTTTTTGACGCCATAACCGGTCACATATTCGCTTAAACATGATTTCCACATGAAGTAACAATTAAGAAAATAAAAGCTAGCTAAAATAGTTTTGTAATAATATAAAAAAACTCCACATTGGAGGTTTAGGGGATGAGCTGTACACGTTAAACGGTGAAACTGGGGGATAGGGCCTACACGGTGCCCTTAGCCCTGCTGCCGGCCCGTGGCCTCGACTGACTTGCATATGGAACCACCGAGCTACACTATACTGCCAGCCCGTGCTCCTAAGGTTTTTGAGCGTCATCAAGAAACGGTACCCGTGGCGTACATGCTTCTACATTTCATCGTCTTAAGCGTCTTGCTAACTACTTATTTTAAAAAGCGCATCGTAAAAAGTTCAATGTGTTTGTTCGCCGGCGTCTGGACCGAGGCTTAACCTGTTCGGAATACCCACTCTTGTAACTTCGGCCTTTCATGAGCTGGAACATCTGGCGACCGTCGCGGTAGTCCCTCCCCAGTGCCAGGCACTCTTTTAGGGCTCGTGCGTACACCATGACGAAGTCGTAGAGGCAAGCACCCTCGGATGGAATCTGCACACAATACTCCCAACGACTCCATGGTCGTTGGTGAGTCTGGAGACATTGTCCCGGGTATTATCCCCGGGGGCTGATCATAAAGCGCCACTTACACTGCCCCATACTTCATACGAAAGACACGGCGTTAGCTGGTGACATGATTGCAAAATTATCTACAAAAACGCGGGAGATGTTTTTGTAGATAATTTTGTAATCATGTATTTTGTAGATAAAAGATAATCGAAGCACATTTTCCTCATTCATTTGTTTACTTCGAACACGTCTATACATATTTTTTGTACGACCGATGTGGCAGGGTTGCCGTAAAAAAATAAAACATGGCTGAGCTAGTGTCTGCAAAACTGTTTTTTTTATGTGTTAATTACATGCTGTAGAAGGCCTATTTTGATGAAGCCATATATGGCAACCGTCCGTTCGCTCTCCTGGAGCTTTGATCAGACATGTGCAGGTGGGGTCTTTCCCTCTTCCGATATAGTTTATAGTAAAATAGAGAAAGGCATTTAACATAGATGGTGCATAACACTCACCAGACAAGGGTAGCCTTTCAAGCTCTTAATGTTCGGGCAAAAAAAAAAAAGGGTCAGCCACTTGGCAGTAAATTACGGCGCGACTTTTAATATTTTGCGAAAGAGAGCTACTGCGCACGATCAGAACGCGCCCCACAGCACGTACAAAGATGGCAGCCCGTATAATAGACGAATCATAAAATCACCAAACGGGATATTGAAAAAAAAGACAGATGAGAAAATAAGAGAGGAAATCAGAACGCCGACCTCTGGTTCAAATGGATTGTCTGATGCTTCCAGTCGCGGTATAGCAAACAAAAGTATTCCAATACTCTGAACAGAGTACAAATCAAAAGTATTCCAATACTCAACAGAGTACAAATCTACTCTATCTGAAAAAAGTACTAATGCAAAATATTGAAAGCTTCAGGATACCACCTATGCCATTCCTGCTTATACATACACACTTAATTAACCCTTAATAAAAGAGGCATCAGTGACTAAATAGAAATAAGAAAGCTTGATTAGGGGTTTAATAAACAAAATTGACTGACAAAACTACACACTAAACGAAAATATACCCAGATGGGAGCAAATCGTTTGGCCTCTAGCGCGTTCCCATATGGGAGTTTTATAAACTGTGCTGGATGGGAATTCAAAGTTAACTCCCATGCAGGCCAGAGTTTTTTGGAGGGTGCAAGGGGCTAACTAGAGAACTCCCATCAGCACGGGAGAGTGTCCGTGGATCAATGAGAGTATGTGTTTACTTTCATCACAGTGTTCCTTGCTTGACCCATGGGAGTGTTCTTTCACGTACTTATGGGAGTTTTTACGTGGACTCGCGGGAATATTTTTACGTCCACCTGGGAGTTCTTCCGTGGACCCACGGGAGTGTACTTTCACATCCATATGGGCGTTTTCACGTGTATTTATGGGACCATTATTTCACATTCATATGGGAGTTTTAATATGCACTTGTGAGACTATTCTTTCACATCCATCTGGGAGTGTTTATGTGCATTGGTGGGACGATTCTTTCATATCCATTTGGGAGTTTTTACGTGCATTTATGGGACTATTCTTTCACATCCATTTGGGAGTTATGTGCATTTATGGGACTATTTTTTCGCATACATGTGGGAGTTTTTATGCGCACTTGTGGGACTATTCTTTCACATCCATTTGGGAGTTATTATGTGGGCCCACAAGGCCTTCTTTCAGATCCTCCGGGGAGTTACGTGTACCTACGGGAGTATTCCTTCGCATCCACCTCTGAGTTTCAATTGTGATTTCCGATAGTAGTAGCAAACAATATTTATTTGCACAAGCATGGGTTAATGATTGAACGGGAGACCCCTAGGGTCGCCAGCCACCCCTCAGGCCTGAACCCTCTGGGTTTTGGCGGCGTCTTCGGCCAGTTGGACTAGTTGGTTCTGCACCGAGGGGTCGGAGCAGAGGAGTCGGGTTTGCCAGCTCTCGTGGTTGTCGATCTTCTCTAGTAGGGGGTGGGACTTGCGGTCGATCCTGCTGCACTCCCACACCATGTGTCGGAGGTTGGCGTGGCCGCCGCAGAGCTTTCAGTTTGGCTAGTACTTGTTGGGGTACCATTTATTGAGTAGGGAGGGGCTCGGGAAGGAGCCCGTCTGGAGGCCGCGCCATGGCACCGACGTCCTCTTGTTCATCGAGGGGTGCGCGGGTGCATAGCGTAACCTCTCGCCAGTGTAGTGATCGAGAATGTCCCTGAATGTGACCAGCCTGTCACCACCCGAAAAAAAAGGCCCGAGAAGGGTCCAGCGGTTCCCCGGCCCGGTGAGCGAGTTCTCGGGCCTCGCC